AAATTAGTTTTCATAATTTATTCAAATTTAATAAACATTCGATATAATCGTCCACTGTAAATATATATGTATTGATAACGAGAAAATAGAATTCTATAAATCTAAAGTGTTACGAAGATCATAAGATTAGGTATAAAGAAAATAAAATGAGTGACATTCAAAAGATAAACAAAGACAGGTAGGTAGAGTCAGTGTACCTAAAACGAACGGAGACTTCATAGATCTTCATTGTAACTGTAATATCTCTATCATTTTTCATCATAAAATAATTATTTTTATATCAAGGAAAAGAAAACAAAATTCTCTATCTGCTCATATAAAAAGATTTTGTTTTTGTAGCTGTAATAATTGTTGAGTAATCAGTGGTAGAAAATTAAAAATTAAAAACGTTCGCTTTATGTGCAATGTCCCTAAAGCGAACGTCCAGCAAGAAAATGTCCTTAAAGCGAACGCACCAGCAAAAAACAAGCGAAAATAAAAAAGTAGAATATTTATCTATTTCTGTCCACAGGTTTCAATGAAGTTTTATGAAATTTATATCATTAGATTCGTCATCTTCAACTCTATCATTTTCTAACAGTTCACCTTAAACGATGTTGATTTGAATTTTAATTAAAAAAATACTGTTCGTTCGCTTTATGGGTAGTGCACATAAAGCGAACGGACAGTATTTTTTTAATTAAAATTCAAATTAACATCAATTAAGCCGAACCGCTAGAAAATGATAGAGTTGAAGATGACGAATCTAATGATATCAATTTCGAAAAATTTTATTCAAATCTATGCACAGAATATTATACTTTTTATCATTTTCGCTTGTTTTTTGCTGGGCGTTCGTTTTAGGGACATTGCGCATAAAGCGAACGTTTTTAATTTTTAATTTTCTACCACTGATTACTCAACAATTATTACAGCTACAAAAAAATCTTTTTATATGAGCAGGTAGAGAATTTTGTTTCTTTTCCGTGATATAAAAATAATTATTTTATGATGAAAAATGATAGAGATATTACAGTTATAACGAAGACCTATGAAGTCTCCGTTCGCTTTAGGTGCATTGACTCTATGTGACAACGATTAAAAGAGATGTAAAACTTCTAATATAGGAATTTTCTGTTAAATTTTCATTTATTATTAATTTGACATGAAAGATTGGAAAAAGTTGTGTAATTGTAAAAGATAAAAGAAAAGATCAATCCATAATTCTTTAATGTTTGATAAAAATCGTAGCTAATAGTGACTGAACTTCAATCAGCACAACGATTTGTGTCTTTGAATCACGACAATAACAACAATCTCTAGACTCGACACTAATTTCGAATTAGTCGCAGTTAAAACGTTGTTAAATATTTTCCAAGAGGAAATAAAAATGAAATCTCTAGGTCAGAAATTAGATAAAGTTCAATAAAAAGTTCTACACTTAAAATAATTGAACAATTTCATTACATAAAAAAGAAAATAGAACATCATATAACTTTTCACTATACTATGTAATTAGTCTAAAGCTTGTAGCTTCTCGAAAGAGATACTTTAAAAACATGTCACTTTTCTTTAAGGGGCCCCCTCAAAAATTCATCTCAGCCCAGGAACATCCAAACAGGCTGATATTTGGAGGATATGTTGGGCCTGTGATAGGACGCACATGATAAAAGTTTCAGCCTTCTATCCTGATGTATAAGGTAGATACGAACCAAACAAGGCTCGAAAAATAGCTTATCGTAGCCCCAAAAAATCTCTATGGATGTTGATTCAATATGGTTCATTGTTTTTTCATTTGAAAGAGCATGTCAAGATGCAGTGCCTATGAGGACCCTTTTTTTAAAATTCTTATCTTTAATAAGAAAAAAATGGTTCACAAATTCAATCACTCAAAAACCCCTCAAAAAAATGATGCTTATATTATAAAATCACTTTTCAATGTTATAATAGGAAAGCTTTATCAAAAACAGGGCCCTCATAGGCACTGCACTTTTTGATGCTCTATCAAAACAAAAAAAAATATTTGACTTTATATCGGATTATAATTGACTTTTGGTGGGGCTACGTAATTCGACCACCATTTTGAGAAAAAACGAAAAAGATTTTTGGCTTTTTCGAATAGAGGTCGTCAAAAATATTGAAAATTTTTCGGAAAAAAGGAGGTATCCATGTATTTATCTCAATCTTGGCCATTCTGACGAAAACTAACTTTTTTGAGGGGAGGGGGCCTTAAATAATGCAAGATTTAACTGTCATATTGTTTGACTTTAATATATCCAAATCAATTATATAAAACGATGAAAAATAAGATAAAACTTACGTATTTAACAACATGTAAGAGCCATTCGAATTCTTCAACTAGAAGACATTTGAGTTGTACAGTCATTGAAATGAGATCAGCAAATACTTTTTCACGCATTTCATTTCGTTCTATTGGTTCATTGACACGATCTAGAAAAAATATTTTTAGATTCTGCATAATTTCCATAATATTTGTCAAACAACAACATAGATTTATTCTAGTCGATATTTTTTCAAACTGAAGATTATTTTTCTAAAATCTATCTTTGAAGTTATGCATAACCGGCTCCGTCCGACTAGTCCAAGTTTTAGACCGACTGGTTCAAAAAACTTTTTAGGTCGATAAAAATCAACATAAGCTGACTGATATATAGATCGTTTACTATCGGTCAAGAACAGAATCTTCACAAAAACAACCGTCTTCGCATTATTTACTTATGTTTTTATGAGTCTTTAAGTAGAAGCATGATACTATACTTGTTTACATTTGTAGAATGTCTCAAAGATGAGTACGTTTTGTTTCTCTGACGAGAAAAAACCAATCATCTAGATAACATTCGAATGCTAACCTGCAGATCTTAAATTTTTAACTTACATTTTACACATAAGGTGACATTTTTCTCTAAACGATGGTCTGACCTTAAAAAACTACTCTCTAACAAAACATCATTGAAATAAATTGACAAATTGATTTCAAGTTTTGATTTTGTGAAACACGATCTAAAAAGAGTGTTGAAATCGATAGGAGTAGAAAGTTGGACTCACTCCCAACTCCTCCACACAGATCGTGACCGACACATTAACCACAATTCATTTCCCGCCCGGATTCTCTTCTCCTACCAATCACAGCATGACCCACACTGTACCAAAGGCCGTCACAGACCGTGACAGACATCTTAGCGCTGTTACTACGCTCTTATAAACCATAATGTATATACCAGGCAAATTGAAACCTGCTGCATGATTAGTATGGAACATAATTGAATTCAAGGCACTTGTCATTTGTCTTTCTGTCATACTCACTGTAATATATTATGATTAACAGTAAATAGCGACTTAGAATCAAGGCATATATTGCTAAATTCCCCATTCACATTATTAGTAATGTGATCATGTATCATATTTTAATCCACCAAGGACTGTGTTAACAGCTTTTTGAGAAAATGAAATGAATTTCGATTAAAAATATAGGAGTTTAGACAAACTAAAGAAAATAAACTGAATAGGTTTTTATACAATATATTTATTTTGATAGAGGAACTTAACTTTGTTGTTGACATATTTTATTGAGAAAAAATTCTAGATTTAAAAAGTCGCAAAAGTCATTTTTTTTCAAATATAATCTTGATGGGACCAGAGCTGAGTTTTTCGTCTAAATCTCTTTGAATCGACGAAGAGCGGCCGAGGTAACT